ACGTTAAAACGTTCCATATCAACAGGACGAGGAATGCGAGAACGGAACCCGTTCGAGGCCACCGAGACCTAAAAACGCTTCAAACCCCTACCTTACTTGTACTAACACTATAAACACCATTACCTTAGTAAGGACTTCATTTGCAACTTCCCTCAAAGACAATCGTGAACGTGAAGACCTTGCTGCGCTCAAAAGTGGTTCAGCACTAGTGTCGTTAGTGGGCAGCTTGAATGAATATGAGAAGATATTGGAAAAGCACGCTAATCCCTGGCGGAAGTAAGCTGACCTTAGCAAAGTTGTATTTCTCCATTTCCTCATCCATATCAATCTCATCGCTCTCACCAGCTTCCTCACCATCTGAGTATGATGACCACGACAGTGCAGAGTCGACAGCTGAGTCCACAGAATTTGATCTTGAGATGCTGCTAAAGTATTGAAAGTGTGCGAAAAATAATTCCGTACCATACTGAGAGTAAAATTCAATTTTGATATGCATTGATTCTCAAAAAAATTTATATATCTAAATTTTTTCACGAAATTATGCAATGAACACGATGAGATTGTAAATATTCTAACCAGATTTCATTCATAGTCCTGTCCACGATGCAACTCTGTGTTTCCAAGCAGTTTTCTCAATGCATATTGTTACTCGAAGGACCTTACCCTGCTACCGAAGACACTAGATCACTAGCAAAAGAAGCACTCCTTTTTGCTAATTCAAAGTTCTTCATTACGCCAGCCAATTCTTTATTGTCGGGTGTCAAAAATATATCTACGTCAGCATCTACCTAAATTTGATTGAAATGAGTAAAACATTTTTACTTCACGGGTTAACTTCCCTGCAGTTGCAAGTATCACATAGATTATTAACGGTTCGTTGGAAGCTTTTCTAAGCAATTAGTTTAAGGGCGTGGCAGCAGCAAGTTAAATTCGTTTTTTGGAAAATAGCAAAGGAGATCCAGAAATTTTGGGGATCTTATTTTCTCCTTCCGTTCCCACCTTCCCCAATACTCAAACTACAAGTGTCTTCGATAACTGCTTACCACCTGACTAACAGTCTACAAGTCTGCTCCAAAATTGAGTGCGCCTCTGCGTGAGAAATTCAAATATACATTTCTAGGAATTCTAGCTCAAACCTATTTTTAACCGAATAGCCGATGAAAAGCTCCCAAATTTGGGCAGAAGATGTGCAGCAAAGGGTTCAAAGATTGTATGCAAAATCTTTGACAATTTGTGAGAGTAATAAATTGCCATGCCTTTCTATGATTTAGGTCCCGTGAAGACTATAGAGAAGTTCAGGTCTCCGATTAGAAAAAAAATTGCCATCATTTTGCTTTTCTCCCAGCAAACACTTTTTATGTGCTCCTTAATCCAACTTACAATAAATAAACCAAAACACTTCTTTTCTCCCTTGCTAATGCCCTAAATCACTTTACCTTAATAAAGAAAACGCACTTCAAGCAAAGTGTGATGCAGGAGTTGCCCTTTTTGCACGTATTTCAGATTGCCGAGGTCTCCGGTTGCTCTCTTCGAAAAGGAGTACTCGTTTGACCCAGGCTAATTTTCTTAAGCGGGTGGCTGTTTTCGGAAAGAAGCGGAGACTTCGGGTCGAGATCTGAGTATTAATCATCTTCGCAATTGTCTTACTGCTGCTTTTATCTCATGGAAAATACGCCTTCATTCATACTTATTCTCTTAATGAACCAAAGGCGCTATCCAAAAAAATCTAATATTTGCTCCACTATTTTTTCCTGAACTTCAAACCCTTGAATTTTTCAAACAAAGAAAGGTGAATTCTAGTTTCCCGCGAAATTTAGATGAGAATTGATTTGAGAGAAAGTTCTAT